ATAAATGTCATAGAAGTAATTTTTTATTTGGTCCCAGACAACGGTCGCAAATTTCACATTATTGTGATCTGAAAAGTGTGTCTAAAACGAAATGTCACTGTCAAATTAAAGTCAATATGGTTGTTGATTGATGTCAGAAATACTTTTTTCTTGCTTTTGAAATCGACTTTTTGAGAATAACTATGATCTTTTAAAAATGGATATTAAATAATTAAGAAAATTGTTAATGGAATATCCAGATGTAGCCAGGTTAGTATAAAATATAAAGATCTGTTTACATTTTTAAGGATATATTTGTTATAGGTATAAAAAGTAAAAGTTAATCAGTGAATGACAAGTAGATCACACAGTAACTGGTATCTCTTCTATGAGTAATGGCTTATTTAGTGTTAACCCATGTTAATGCGCTAGAGGGCAAATAAAGGCATTCAAAAGTTTACAGGCCTATGAGTCAGAATTTGTTTTGAAAACTGGAACCAACATTTTCATAACACTACATGTCAACATATATTTTTTAAAGTGAACTATTCATACATACCTATGTATTAATTTTAAGTATTTTTAAAATATTTTTTGTGAAAGTAATGTTAACTCATTGTGCCAAATTAAGATTATCCCTAAAGTAGTAGATGGTGTTTTAAATGTTATAACAATTTTGTAAAGTTTTATTCTATTTTAATAAATAAAATTTGCTTGAATATTTAGTTACATTTTAATCATTTTGGTTAGAAATTCATCAATTTTTAGTTTTAAAAAATCAGTAATAAAATTATTTTTTTCTAAAATACTTCGGAATTCATCTCTTCATGGTAATCTCCCATCTTTTTACCTTCAAAAACCAATGCATTTTCTACAAAACCTTCAGAATCAGCATGTAAAATAAGGTGTCTTCCCTTTCTTGTAAGGCTTTTCAGGAATTGCTACCTTTAATAGTACTCAGTGTAGAAGGATCCATAATTGTAAATTTTCAATACAATTGCTTACTGAAGAACTATTATTTACGAAATAAAGTAAAAAACTAAGTAATGGATGAGATATCAAATTATAAAATGTCAGAACTGTCAACAATATCGATTAGGCATTCCAAACAAATGAATTGCCAGTGGGAAGATTTGGTATATCTAAGGGTGGCGACATACGGTGTATGTTACATACTTTACGTAAAATCATGAATAATGGATAACATTTAAATATTTTATGTCAAACACAATAAAAATAATATTTAAAAATCCACCTATACATTTCTTCATAAATTGGCAGGCTTGGCGACTACTACTTCGAATAAAAATAGCGTCCAAGTTGCAAGATTATGTCGCTACCCCCCTTAGATATACAAGAATTTTCCACTGGCACCTATTGTTTGACAGGTCGTTGGAATGCCTAATTATTAGCTGATGTTCATGCTAAAAAGTAATGTGTGAAACTGACTGTAATCTGACCAATCAGAAGCCTACAGAATTGCCAACTTAAATTCAAATCGCTCCTCTTAGTTTAAAAACAGAGTATAGTGCGAATTATTTTTGAGTGTAACATCTTTTTTATTTGTTTTTGTACCTCGTCTTTATATACGAATGGATATCTGTATGGTCGTGAATAAACAGGAATTTCATCTGTTGTATTTATTTTGTGTTTGATTATGTTTGTGAACATTAGGGGTAGATTATCTTGATGAAGTATGTCTGTGTATTCTTTAATTAAATTAATTATCTGTGATTTCTCTTCTAAATTTAAATGGTCAGTTCTAAATTTTAAAAGGTCTAGATTTTGTTTAAAAATAAAAATAAAAATAATTCACATAAAAATGTTGTAAACCAGAATAATGAAATAAGATACGCGATAAGAGTTTCTAGGAAAAAGTCGTTGACTCTTTAATTCCCATAAGGAAAGTTGACGTAATCGCCTTAAAAGCAATCGCAACGTTAAGGCCACTCCGCTGCGCGTCGTGGCACTAAACTCGTTATTCATGCTTTAAGGCATATGTGGGCAACCCCCGGCTCCCGGGCCGGAACCGGCCCTCCACTAGCTTCAATCCGGCCCAATCAGTTTTATGGAGAATTTATGATTACATTAAATTTTATAAAAAAATCAAAGGAATTGGGTCATGCATCATGTTCAATAACAATAAAAAATAATAACAAAAACATTATAATAAAACATTTTAAATATTTTTAAGAAAACCACCCAGTAAAAAAGAACGAACTTAAAAAAAACAGTTATTCTAAGACCATAAAAACATTAAAAGAACAAACACATAAACAAAACGTTTCTGAATTCGGAACATAGAACATTTAAAGCAAAAACTAAATTCTAATTTGAAATTTCTTCCATTCCATCAGAATTCTCTTAACCCAACAAGTGAACCAAAATTTTCTCCAACGTGAACGCACACAAAAATACCACTAAAAGAGCTTGCGATCTTGCAAATGCCAAACCAAACTGCTATTTTGCAAATCTATGCGAGTTGAGACCTGAGCAAAGCATGCGCGAAACAAGCCGCCCGATGCGCTTGCGTACGATCGAGTGTATTCTAGTTACTTATTGGGGGTAATATATAAACCGCTTAGCGCGCATCGCCTCATTACTTCTTAACAACCGATAAACGTACGACGTGGGAAATATTCAAGCAAAAACATGTCTGGTTCAAAAAAGCGGAAAGTGGACACGGAATGTCGTCAATTCCAAGACAAATGGACTGATGAATACTTTTTTATCTTGAACAGTGGTAAACCTATGTGTTTGTTGTGCAATGAAACAATTTCTGTTTTAAAAGAATACAATATGAAGCGGCATTACTCCAGTAAGCATTTTGCTCAATATAATTCACTCATGGGCCAGTTAAGAAAGGATAAAATTAAAAAACTCATTACCGATTTAGGGAAACAGCAACAAATGTTCCATTCACAAAGATCAAATCTAGACAGTGTTGTTAAAGCTAGTTTTATAATTAGTTCCAAAATAGCGAAAACATCGAAGTCATTTTCTGAGGGACAGTTTGTTAAAGAGTGCCTAGTAGACGTTGCAGAACTTTTGTGTCCAGAAAAGAAGAGAGAGTTTGAGAAAGTGAGCTTATCGCGACGTACCGTTGTTCGACGTATAGATATGATGGCAAGTGATATCAAAAAAACATTGACTGATACATTAGCTAGTTTTCAAGCTTTTTTGATTGCTTTGGATGAGAGTACAGATTTATCTGACACTGCCCAGTTAGCTATTTTTATACGAGGTGTTGATGAAGAAGTTGCAGTGACAGAGGAATTACTGGCTTTGCGGCCGCTACAAGGGACCACTACTGGAAAAGATATTTTTGCCGAGGTGCAAAGTACTTTTGAGCAATTTGGTTTACAGTGGTGTAAATTAGTTGGAGTGTGCATGGATGGTGCGCCTTCAATGGTCGGTTCACGAAAAGGTTTTATCGGAATTCTGAAGGAAAGAGCAACAGCTATGAATGTGCAAGAATGTGATTTATTAATTCTGCATTGCATTATTCATCAACAAAATTTGTGCTCCAAGTCCATTCGATTGAAGAATGTTATGGACGTGGTAGTAAATACCATTAATTTCATTAGATCCCGCGGTCTTAACCATCGCCAGTTTAAAGCATTTTTGGATGAACTTTCTTCAAAATACGATGATGTGACATATTATTGCGAAGTAAGGTGGCTAAGCAAAGGTAAAATGCTAAAAAGATTTTATGACCTTAGAAAAGAAATAGCTGATTTTATGGAAATGAAAGAGAAAACATTACCGCAAATTTGTGATCCAACTTGGCTTTGTGACTTGGCATTCCTGATAGACATCACAGGACACTTAAACGATCTGAACTTAAAGCTCCAAAAACAAGGGCAATTGGTAAATCAGTTGTACAGTCATCTTATAGCTTTTCAAAACAAAATTCGCTTATGGGAAACACAAATGAGAAGTTCAAACTGTTTTCATTTTTCAACATTATCCAGTCACGAAAATATTGAATACGGTCGTTATACTGAAGAATTGAAACTACTGTCCGAGCAATTTACCGATCGATTTTCCGATTTTAAGAATATGGATGGCACTTTCAATATTTTTGCAAATCCTTGTAAGTGTAGTGTGGAAGATGTTCCGCTTCACCTACAAATGGAGTTGATCGAGCTTCAAGAAGACTCATATTTGAAATCTAAATTTGATGATGTGGAACTAAGCGAATTTTACAGAACATACAAAGAAAAGTATCCACGGCTGAGAGCTTTCGCACGAAAAATAATTTGCACATTTGGAAGCACGTATAAATGTGAGCAGCTTTTTTCAATCATGAAAATTAATTAAAATAAGCATCGTACTCGGCTTACAGATGTTAATTTAGAAAACACTTTGCGCCTTTGTACTAGTGATATTGAACCCAATATTGATCATCTTGTTTCTCAGCTTCAAACTCAAGTCTCTCATTAATTTTTATTTGATCTTTTTTTATTAACTTGCTTTTTATATGATTGAGCATAGCTATTATAATTAATAAATAAAAAAATGTGTGAATTTTTGTCGCTCTTTTATTCACTACTACCTACTTATTTCTTGCCTATGGCCCGCGACCTAATTAAGTCCCGAAATTACGCCCTCAGCGAAGCAAAGGTTGCCCATACCTGCTTTAAAGGCTCGACTATGAATTGGTGTCAGAATATACTAAAAAACCATTTCACATTCTATAAATTACCATAGACATTCGAAAAAAAAAATATATAACAAAATTGCTCGTCGAACAATCCAATTTTACCACGGTAGAATGTTTTTTTACCTACTATTTCGGTTTTAAATTGTTCTCGAATAATGAAAGAAAAAAAACATTATTGCATTCGAAAAAGGGTAAATTTCGCAAAATTCCACGATTTCGAGAATTAATTAAAAGTTAGAGATATGTAAACGTATTCAAAACCGCTGACAGTGTAAACATATCGACGTAACGCTAATTAACGAAAAGCGTTAAAATAGATAAATAGATATCTTAACCATGTTGGAGCCAGTGAACCCTACTCTAGAACATAAATTGCTAACCCAATTAATATGAAGAAAAGAACTGTTCGCAATATTTTGAAAAGGAATAGAAACCACCGTTTTAAATTATAGTCTACAGCAGGCCTGCACAACAGAGATTTTCAAAGGGTTAGTTTAAAAACCGTAAGTGTACGAGGACCAAGAGAGCCCTGAGCTTATAAATTTTATAAATTTATAAAGCAGGTCGACCTAGTCTGTTTAGATTCTAAAAAAAAGGTGCTTACTTTATAATTCTATACACCAAGTCCTTCTGTCGAGCTTGTAAAAGAAAAAAAACAGGTCGTCAGCTGTCGAGCTTCTGAAAAAAAAAGGTCATCAGTTTATAGTGAACTAGGTCCTTCTATCGAGCTCCTAATAAAGGCAAGTAAAACGTAAATGCAATTTTTTTACTTAAAAATATAGTGTTTGACGTAGGCTAGCCAAACTGATCAACGGACAAAGGGCCAAGAAAACGATAATGGCGGGACGCATGCGACCCGCGAGCATATTCGTATCAAGCGTCCAGTATCGCAGGCTCACCTTTTCCGAGTTCCATCGAATCCGTTCAGGTAGACTGCGCGCGGGAACGCATTGTTCAGGCTTTTCGCGTGGTACTCAGCGTTCGATATCGCAACATATTGACAAGATATGCGCCCCCTAAGTAATATTTTTAAATTTATGTGGCATATAATCCAAAACACATTCGCCTTAAAGTTTTATTACAAGTCTAAACAAAGTAATTTTAATGTTTTTTTTTTTTAAGAAAATAAACAATTTGCTTATTTTAAAAACATATTTTCTCCTAAAGCTATATTTTTCTCCACGCACAGGAGTAAATTGTGGGGTGCTCTCGCCTTTTTTTTAACTAAAGAAGAAACTTTTTGTCCACTTTGCCCTTTTCTACGTCTACATGCATGAACCTTTCTTCTTGAAACTGATCTTGGTTGAACCGATATCTTTTTTCCTTTTCGGCATGTTTTTTTTTGTCGAATTGATCCTTGTGTCTGTACGTGGTTTGAAAGCATTGTGTAATGCTGACATTAACGTTGACTCTGACTTAACGTATTTATTATACGAATTTATACAAACATCCACCGCCGGAATAAAATTATTAGGGTCATCTTCGATAGATAAGACCAAAAAGACAAATGCCAAAAATAAATGATTGCAATTTCGAACGTTGGATACATCTAGCATAATGCGTTCTCGCGCTCTGGATACGTCGATGCATTCGGCGGTACTCGGAAAAGACAAGCCTGCGATACTGCACGCTTGATACCAATATGCGACCAGCGAGCCGTATGTTGTGCAGGCAACCTTGTATTTCATTTTGCTACAATTAAAATTTGTATCGTCAGTATACACCCCAAGGTTACTTTAAGGAAGTGATGTTGTATTCGTACTACCTGTACTGGGACCGGGACGTTAGTTGCTTACCTTCCCAGTGTGTTGTTTCACCGTTTCAGGGTTTTTTGTGACTGTTGCTTAACAGAATGTCGTCAGTTAATTCTAGGACCAAATCTAAATTTCTCACACCCAAAAACATAAAATCAACTCCTTTGGAACTAGCTTCCCTTTATTCCTGGTAAGAGGCAGAGAGTTGGTTAATCAGTCCAACTTTCAGCGATTTCCCTTAATGCAGAGCACCCAAAAACTCTAAGATGCAGACCCTAAAGAGAAAAATAAATATTTTCTTATTTGGAAATTCTGAAAATGAAAAATTCCTAACCCCCCTACGAAATTATAAAAATTACGTCCTCATATTCCCAAAGTAAAAACAAACCAAAGGAAAATTGAAAGAAGCAGTAAATTAAGAAAGAAAAAATGCATGCAACACCGGGAGTCGAACTCGGAACCTGAAACTTGAGCCGTGTGCGCGATAACCAATTAAGTTACCTCACACATACGTGATGATGTCCAAATTTGTTTACTTGAAGTATTCAGATTGAGACCCATCCTTTGCTTGTTCTTGATACAATTACATTGTAGTTTCCTTAAAATATACTCGTCAGCACGAGTTGTTTCTGGAGTAAACAAAATGCCCCATAAAGGAACGGAAAAATTTTAAGTCTTGACCACAAAAATTATTTATTGTTATTGAAAACAGGGAAAGCGACTAGTTTCGGTCAGTGACCATCATCTGGCAGAGCAAAAATACTGGACAAAATTAAACTAATAAGGGGACATCCGGCTATCAATAAAAGAAAATATTATGAATTAAAAACAAACTATAACATACCATAAAATAACGTATAAGTAGCAAAATAAATGACAATAGCATTCCTATAAATTTGTTTTTCAAATTTGTGTCTATTGCTTATTTGTTTCAGTGGCTCAGGAAGGCTATTATACAGGGTGGGCCATTAGTGCGTGGGTGGAAGATTGCGGGTTTATTAAGGAACATTTTTAAAATTAATTTTTAGGGTATGGTGTTTCATTTTTAGGGCATGGTGTAGGACCTCTAAGGCTACAACCTTAAAATGTTTTCGATAAAATTCTAATTGTTCTACAGGGTGATTTATATCAAAGTTATGTTTTTTAATATAAACCTCCTATATATTATTACATATTTGGATTTCTCGGTCAATTTTAGTGTGACTTTATGTATCATACATGGTATCTAAAATGAGTCGTTAAGCAGCAATTCATTATTTTTTCAAAAAGTAGATGTCTAGTAAAAATTAAATATCACAGTTATTGTAAGGTGTTGAGTCGTGCGTATAATTTCGTTGATTGTATAATTTCGTGGAGCCTATAATTTCGTAGATTTTGTTTGAGTTAAAGGTACTGTTATTATTTTGGTGACTCTTTAGCTGTGAGTAGAATGAATGAAAAAGAAGACATCATTCTGTTTGTGCAGTCAAAAGCTGTTTTAATAAGGGTTATACCTGCAAGAAAACATTCTTTAGTTTTCCCAAGGACCCAAACCGATAAGTACCACATTATAAGAAATTTTCATTGTTAAAAATATAATTTATACAGGGTGTCCCATTAGTGCGTTATTGTTCATTATTTTGTTGTAGACACGCAAGAAAGTTTTAAATAAAAGTTATATGGATTTGAAAAATACCTACATATTTTAAAAATATCTTTGGATATACAGGGTGTCACGTTTTTGCCTGGCAAATTAAAATGTATGTTTTTTAAATGGAACACCTTGTATTTTATTTTATGATGAAATTATTAACACCCTAAATTATTGTAAAGACGAATTGTTACAGAAAATTTTTATCAGGTATGTGTGTGGTTACCTTTTAATAAAAGCCTTGCGGATCCACTCCTGCGATACCTGTCTTAAATATAACAAAGATCACGTTGAAATAGATGATTTTTCTTTTTATTGCTTTTTAAAGGCATATGATAATGCCAATTCAGATACATTTGGAAATCTGCAACTGTCAAATGATGAATTTGTAGAACTAATATTCAATATTGAAAAGATATTTCAAAATAATTTTGAAGAATTGGCTACAAAAAATAACATTTGTACCACACTTTTAGAATTAATTAACCCAATACCCTTTAGTCATCCATGCTAACGTTTTCCAAAAGAATAACTTATTTTATTGTATGTTTAATCTCAATAACTAAAAAATATACTGACAATTAGTTTGACAGAATTGTCATTTATTTAAAATTTTAAAAATAATAGCAGTCGGTTGATCAAAATATGAACGGTGATTGGCGAATTTATTTTTTTTGCAGTGTTCTCACTACCTAGAATGGATATGAAATATATTCGTTCAATTGAAGGCAATAGCATACTTTTTCGTTTTGTAATCTGTGCATGGATATTAGCCAATCTACGCACATACTACAAAACGAAAAAGTATGTTATTGTGTTCAACTACGAATATATTTCATATCCATTTTATGTAGTAAGAACACTTTAACAAAATTAAATCTACAAATCACAGTTCATATTTTGGTCACCCAACTCATATTATTTAAAATTTTTTAAATAAATGACAATTCTGTTAAACTAATTGTCAATATATATTTTAGTTATTGATATTAAATATACATTAAAATTTTTGTGCAGACTCGATAAATAATAGCATTTTTGTTTCTATTGTGTCCACATTTAAAAAAAAATAAATTTTAATTAAACTACATGATACTAATTTAATTACGAGTATTAAAACTAAAGTCCTGAAAGTTTCGGTGAAGATGAAGTCAGAGCATCTGCCTTCCACGCGAAAAGTCCGGGATCGAATCTAGGCCGAGGACTAATTAATTTTTCATGTTTATTTTATTTTATAAATTAGTCAACTTCGTAAATTATTTTAAAATTAGTTATTTTGTCTAAATAACCTAAAATAAGTTTTTAAATTTGTAGATTTTCGTTAGTGGGTCGTAGAAAAAATATACTGACCATATCGAGTAGATTGTTCATATCACAATCAGACGATTGAGTTCTCCGCTAACGACGTCGTGCTCAAACTTCGTCTTTGTGTGATATGGCTATCATATCCACCCTTGTTGAACAAACTACAATTTATTTGTTTTCTTGGTTTAAGTTTCACATCAGAAATAGGAATTAAATTAATTTACTTTTCAAGTTTTCTTGTAAAAATCGATATTACTTTCTCCAAGTACAAATTTAGTACCTACCTAAAATAAGTACTAATTATGTTATATCTTGTAATATTGTAATTCAAATTTCACATTACTATAAAGTTTTAAAATTTCCTACTTCGGTATGGTCAGATAAAAATTGAATATATTATATTAATAAAAACTGTCAAAGTATAACTTCTACAAATCTGTATTTCAAATAATAAGAATACATCTAAATATAACCAATATTGTTAAAACAAAAGCACACATTCTTTATAATTCCAAAATACCATAGAGTTCCCAGACCTCAGTCGAAGCATTCGTTTATCTAGGTATAAACCCTTTGCGCGAAGAGTAACACTTGCCAGAGACACGGGGGTACCACTTGATTTGCATCCACGAGCGTGACACAATTCTTTAACAATTGAAGCCCTTGGTGTA